TTTTCGAGCATCCTACTAAATGCTTCCATAATAATGACAAACAACAATGTAGAAGATCCCCTTGCCTCAATCCTCTACTACTACGAAAAAAACCTTCCGGGCTGCCATTCACCATGACAGAGAAGGAGACCGTAGAGATGCAAAACTCAATCCACCGACACCACTTCTCCCCAAAGCCACATCGCCTTAGCATATACAAAAGAAAATCCCAGTTAACGTGATCATAAGCCTTCTGAATGTCGAGCTTACATAACATTCCTGGAACCCTTAGTCGCAGTCTGGAATCAATGCACTCATTTGCTATAAGTACGGAATCCAAAATCTGGCGCCCTTTAACGAAGGCATTCTGAAATTTAGATACCACTTTACCCAACACTTCCTTTAATCTATTTGCCAAGATCTTCGCAATAATTTTGTAAACCCCACTCACTAAGCTAATAGGACGGAAATCCTTAATATCCGTCGCGCCCGGTTTCTTAGGAATAAGCAAAATAAATGTGGCATTAGCGCTTCTTAAGAATCCCATAGTATAGTAGAACTTGGGGGTTAAATATAATAGTAAATAATATAATATACCTTCTTCTTGGATNCCGGTTTCTTAGGAATAAGCACAATAAATGTGGCATTAGCGCTTCTTAAGAATCTACCACGCTCAAAGAAGTAAGGACATCAATAATGTCAGATCGCACCACCTCCCAACAAGCTTTATAGAATGAGAAAGAAAAGTCATCGGGTCCTGGGGCCTTATCATCATTCATGCTGAACACCACCTCCCTTATTTCGTCCTCCCCAAATGGTCTCTCTAACCAAATCACATCGTCCTCATTAATAGTAGAGAAGTCAATCCCATCCAACTTAGGCCTCCAGTCCAACTGTTCACGATAAAGAGTCTGATAAAATCTTACCATATTAGTCCCGATATCCTGTGGATCCTCATATGTAACCTCATCAACCTCCAACATTGTGAGGGAATTGTTGCGCCTATTGGAATTAGCCACCTTATGGAAAAATTGAGTGCACCTGTCCCCCTCTTTCAACCACTTAACCCTGGATTTTTTACGCCAAGCAATCTCCACCATCTCCACCAACTTTTCCAACTCATCCCTTAATTCTTCACGTCTCGCCCTGTCCTCCCCTGCTAATCCTCGACTTTCCTCCCTTCTATCCAACTCTTCTATATCTGATAGACATTGATTTTTGCGATAACAGACATCTCCCACCACCTTCTCACTCCATCGCTTAAGATATTTTTTCAATGCCTTCAATTTCCGATCTAACACATAACTAGGAGACCCCCTAAAGTCATATGATGCCCACCAATTCCGAACTCGTTCTCCAAAACCCTCAACTTTTAACCACATCCTCTCGAACCTAAAANTTGGCCCCCCAATCCCAGCATACCAAAAATCTATCTATACGAGATAGATCAGGTTGGTCTCGGTTAGATGACCAAGTAAAATCTCCCCCGCTCAGAGGCAAGTCCACCAACATGGTCTCCCGGATGAAATCTGAAAAGTCCTCCATAGCCCCTGTAACTCTCCCCCCACTGGACCTCTCCGTAGGAAATCGGACCACATTGAAATCTCCTCCAATACACGTTGGGAGGTTCCACCAATTCATCATCCCAGCCAATTCATCCCACAATCCACCTCTACTCTCATCTACATTAGGCCCATAAACTCCTATAAACATCCATCGGAAGCTATCCCCAATGTTTCTAAATGAAAGCGATAGGGAAAATAGCCCTTCGCTAACCTCCTCCACATCAAAAACTCTAGTGTCCCACATCACTAACACTCCTCCTGACGCCCCCGATGATCCTGTATACTGATACCCAACATGCTGTCCCCCCCCACAGACTACTCACAACAGCCCTCGAAACAACCTCCAACTTAGTTTCTTGTAGACAAACAAGGTTAGCCCTCCATCCCCTTAAGAGATTTCGAACGCCCAATCTTTTCCCAGCATCATTAAGCCCCCTCACATTTCAACTGATAATTTTTGGGATCATTTAAACAATGCATCGCCCCTCCCCATGAGACCTCTTCTTGACTTGCCACCCCTGGCAGCATAATTAACCGAACATTCAAGCCGCTTAAGCTCACGGTCACCCTTTCTTCTTGTCTTACCTCCCGATGTACTCATCTCATGTC